GGGGAGAAAATGACGGGCTCAGGATAGAAACTGCAGCGTATGTGGGAAATTTGGCTTTAGAAAAGTTAAAGCGATCTTGTTTGTAGTTAGAAGTTAACTAGCTCACCTCCTAGACATAACTACCTGCGGGTTAAAATACTCCTGGCTGGGTCTCATTATGTTGCTATCACACGTCCGCAGGAACTGGTAAAGTGCTCTTAGCCACAGGCAAGCTGAGCCAAGAGGAAGAGTCTCCAGTGCTCCTGGAAAAACCAAATACAAAAACCCACCTAAAAAATCAGCAGTTCCGACTGCAGGCGCCTTTGAACCGGAAGAGGCGGGGAGGAAGGCAGGAGATCACGGGGTAAGAGCTCGATTAGACGGTTAATGCGCTGGAGCCCACGCGGAGTCCAGCGGCGGGGCCCGGGGGCGGGGCGCAGGCGGCCTGTCCCCGGCCCGGGGTCACACGGCCGCTTTGTGCTTCCCGCCGCAGCACCGGCACATCACCCCGCAGTGGTAGCAGGCGCGGAGCGGCAGGTAACAGCACATACAGGGCGCCAGGAAGGACAGGGCGATGAGGGCCATCCACCGGAGGCAAAACTTCTCGTCGCTGGTGTCGCACGAGCAGGGGTCTGTGTAGTCGCCCTCGGGGTCCGACATGCAGTGGTAGAGCAGGCTGTCCGCGCACCACATGCAGCTCACGCGGCGGATGCAAGTCCTCACGGCGTCGGGCGCGTCCTGGCAGCGGCCCCGCCGGTTCTCCTCGTGGTTGAACATGTCCCTGCAGTACTCGCACCGCGAGCGCTCGCCGTCCTCCTTCCGCGGCCGCGGCTTGCCCCGCAGGGGCTGCGTCTTGATCACGCCGCACCCGAGCCCTTTGGGGTCCTCCCCGAGGCCGAAGTCCGAGGAGTCCACGTAGGGGTAGTTGTAGTCGTGCTTGGGCACCTCGCCCTTGGCGAAGCGCACGTAGGAGTCGGCGTCCTCGGCGGGGTCGAGCGCCTTGCCGCGCACGGGCGCGTGCCGGTAGTCCTCGTAGCCCGTCATCCAGATCTTCTCCCGGGGGTTGATGCGCACGATCTCCTCGTCGTCGTCGGGGAAGCTCACCTGGCGGTAGGGCCTTGGCATCGGCTGCCCCGGGAGAGGAGAGACAGTGTTTTACAGCAGGGGCAAAAAACCCCACGAACACCCCACCGTGCACCTTTCACCTTGACAAAGGCATTTCTTGAAACACCTTGTGGGTCAAAGATGTATCTCAAATTGTGAGTCTCAATCCATTCCTGGGTCGGGAAATCAATTGAATGGGTCGAGACCGGCTTTCACCCCTCCCTTTGTTGAAGGATTACCATGTGTTTGGGAAAGTGTGTGTGCATGTTGTAAGAATAGTTTAAATCGTCGGAAGCTGGCCACAGCCAGGTCAAGGAGCAGGAGGAGAGAGGCCTAGGACCCCCCCACCTCCCCTTCTCTCACCGCCCACCCCGAGGGGAAGGTGACTGCTAGCCTGATTTCTAACAGCTTACATCAGTTTTACCTGGTTTTGTACAGTATGTTCTCTGCTGTAAGACCAGCTTTTTACCCCCCTCAGGAGTACACGGCATGTTATAAGGGTAAGTACTTTTCATTCTCTATGTATATACATTGTGTGTGTTCTGGGTCACCATATAAAATGCATTTGTCACTGTGAGTCATATTTAAAAAGCAAAAGGGGCTCACAAGAACCTTGTAATCTGGTTGGGAAGATAAGATGCTCAGATAGGAAAAGGGTAGGAGTGCAGCTCCAGAGGCCAGCTGCCTGGGTTTGAATCCTGCCAAGATCTCAGGCAATGAGTGGCAGAGCTGGAATTTGGGCCTAAGCAGCTGGGATGCAGAGCCACAACCTCTGGCCTTCAAACCTCAACTGCATTCCCCCTAAGGGTGAAGAGTCATCTCAGAAAGTAGTCCCACTACAGTTTACAAGTGCCCTGTCCAGACGGCAGGTGCTAAGTCAACAGCTACCGCCTAGATGCAAGTAAGCCAGCCCTGCACAGGACATCTCAGTGGTGGCAGAGAAGGAGCTTTTCCACGTTAGAAGTCCTTTTTTAAGGGGAAAAGAGCATGGTTCTGAGCAAACCCGCTGGAGTCAAATTCGGGCTGTGCAATTTACTAGCAAGTTGCTACACCTCAGCCTCAGTTTCCCTGACTGTCAAACTGCATAGGACTTTTATGAGAATGGAGAGAAAGATCTATGCAGTGTCTGCACTGAGCCTGCCACACAGGATGTGCTTGATACCCACTGCAATTGTCATTATAACAGTTACAGAATTTTTACATGGCAATTAGATTTACCCATCGCTTCCCACCAAACCATGAGCAGGGGCCCCGTCTACACGCTTTGCCCTAATTCCTTTCAGATTCTTGACATCAGTTTCCTGGGCTTTGGAAAAATCACAGTCCTGTAGGATTTCAAACAAATCTTGGGAGCTGACACAGACTTTGCTAATTTTTTATTTTGTAAAGTAAGGAGAGTCAAAAGGTCAGTTCTTTTCTATTGCTATCATCATGTGATTTTTTAAAAAAGATTTAAATGCCAAACTATTGGGAAGCATACAATAAAATCATTTTTGAAGAGTCATATAAATCTAGCTTTATGTTAACTGTGCTCCTTTTTCCTCTTTTCAAAGCAGACTGGTGGCCACATCACCCTACACGGGCACCAGTCCATGTCCCACAGTTTGGGAACCTGCTCTGCAAAATAGCCGCTCAGTAAATATTTGTTGAATTATTGAATTCCAGGCTCCATCTCCCTGAGCAGGCCTGGGCCTGCAGCCCGAGCTGCCAGGGCGTGAGCCAGGGGGGCAGCGTTCTTCAGTCCTGATCGCGGCTCCGGGCTCTCACCACGTCAGGAGGCAGTACAGTTCGCTGGGTGAGCACAGACTTGCATTTGAATCTGTTCCACCAGGGACTCTCGCTCAGCCTTAGCCTTGTGGGGAAATTTGTGAAGATTAAATGAGATACAGCACAAGGTGTCTGGCACACAGAAACCTCTGAGTAAGGGTTCGATATGGGGTGGGGTGGTACATAGTAGCACAAAAGAGGCCTGGGCGCGGGGAGAGGAAGGCGGCCATCCCAGGAGTGGGAGTCGTCTACCGCGATGACCTCAGAGGACCGAGACTGCCGCTCACCTGTTCGAGGTGATAGTGGTCCGTGGAGTATGGGTCGTGGAGGTGGCCCAGGGTATAAATCCTCCGGTGCTCACAGGATGTGGGAGAAGAGATTGTCCGAGTAGGTTGTTCCCTCTTCTGAGAGGAATTAGAAGAACTGTCTGTAGCTGTCTGTTTAGAGGGAGGTAACCAAGAGTTAATTTGAAAAAAGAAAAACCACACACCAAACCCTAACATGCCATCTGCCCCTACTTGTGGAATCTTGCTGGACTTCCCGAAATCTTGAGTTTATCCTGGCTGTGGGAGGCGGGAGGACCCCTGAAGGGGGAGATTGTCTAAACATGATGTGGCCAGCTCAATGGGCAGAGAAACCCAGCCGCCAGACCCTGGAAAGTCGGGTTTGTTTTCTCAAATGTGGGAGCAGCGACCAGGCTTTGGGGTTGGACTCACTACAGCTGGCCTCCCGCGGGTGCATCCCAGTTTGATCAAGTATGGTTGTCCCATTTGTAGCCCTAGTTCCGAGGTACTCTGGCAAGCAGGGAAGGTGCGAACATGCAAAAATCAAACCCCAGTATTTATATGCGGGGCTAATCCTGGCCTAAGAAGGAGCCAAGACATAAGGAGACCTCGGGGTATCATGGGTACTGGCTTTCCAGAAAGAAATCTTTGGGTTGGAGGCAAGCTTTGGGGTTGACTTTAAACTGGAAGCAAGGCAATGATTGCACAGTGGGATGAAGGCCCATCAGTGAGGTGAGTGCGGAGCTGTTTTCCCAGCAGAGGCACACAGTTCAGACCAGAGCCTACTGATGGTGTGTTTGGAAGGTGAACAGATACTGGGATGGACTGTGGCCAGAGCACAGGGAGGCCAACTGCCTTCCAATATACCTACCACCTAGGTGCTTCATGCTCCCAGCTAAGATTCAATGAAGGGGGCCGGGTGATCACCACTCTCCATAACCACTCCCATTCCCCAAAAGCCACGTGCTCATAAAAGGCTGTTAAATGCAGCTGGCCTCCCAACCCACCTTTTAACCCCATAGAGCTGGGGACCCTTCCCCACCCCCAAACAAACGAAAAGTTTTCTTGTATTTAGTTGTCCTATTTCTGACAAATATCTAGGAACTCCTTCCTCCTTGGCTGTTGCTCTTATATTCCCCTTATCTCATTTGCTCATTTATTTTTTTATTTTATATGTCTTTTGTTAGTATCATAAATCCTTATGGGGGCAAGGCAAAGTCTAAACAAATAGACTTATAAAGTAACAAATGCTCAGAAAAATGGGACTCCAGGTATTTAGGAAAAAGAAGACTCATTTCCATTATGTAACAAACTGTTGTTAATTTTTAAAACTTGGTGGATACATGCAGCATCCCTTCAGGGATCCGAGCCTCCTGGATTTTTCTAATTGGTTTGGTCCAAGTGATGAGGGGCTGATTCCTCAACCCACAGCGGCTAATCCAGATATGGTCCTCTCAGGGAATAGGGGAAGAATTTTGATGGAGAGGCCAGAAAAGATGCTGAATTTTTATCTCAAGTTAAGACCTAAGGGTCCCATACACCTGGAATCATGGTGAGGGCACAGGGAAAGCACCTTCTGAAGATGACGTGAAGCAAAGTCAAGAGAAGTCACCCCCCACGGACACCATTCGAGCTTCTGGATCCAGTCAAGCCTGAATCCTGACCCACTTCTGGTAACTTAAGCCGGATGTGTTGGTTTCACCACGTGGATGCACTTTTCCTCACTCCGAGGCAGCAGCTCCACCTGCATCACACCCTGGCCTCTCTATAACCCTCACTCCCCTCACAACGGGTGGAGTGAAACTGGGCGTGCAGTCTGCTACCTCCCTCCCCTGCCTCTTGGGAGCCGCCCAACTGGCAAACAGCACGTGCTGGCAGCCATTCTTGGGACTGTGGGGAGGCTGCAGAGATCCAGCACCTCGTGCCTGACGGGTCAGGTCCTAAGACGTCTACTTCCCGCAGATGTAAGCCAGGACCATAATGTATCTCCTAGCTGTCCCCCTCCCCCAAATTGGTTCATAACTCAGATAGGGAAGAATTACTATTAAGTATCAGTAACTGAAAGAGACCAAGCTGATACACAACTTTTTCCTTTCTTCCAAACTCTGCTTGTCCTCCAGTTCTCACCCACTTTAACACATGGGCTGTCGTGGATCAGACAGAACAAAACCAAGAACTGTTAATAGTCCCATGTTGTGTGAGTGAATACAATGTGCCAGGCCCTGGGTACACGTGAACACAGTTGCAGGTAAAATATCTCCACGTCACACACAGGAGAACAGACTCCAAGAGAGGAAAGACCTGCTGACTGACAGGCAGCCTCTGCAAGGCTGGGATGAAATGCAGCCCCAGACACCCAGGCCCCTGGATTTCAGTACCCACAACACTGCTTCTCAAGCTCAGGTGAGCCCATTCCAATGCCTACTCTGAGGGGTACTGTGTTAACCTCAAAAAAAAGTACAACTTCTCCACGTAAGAAGGTGCACCCTGCATGATACAAACCCAGGAGATAAGGGGATGGCATCTCACAATACAAAGGTTTCCAAAGACCTCAATAAATGCTTCCTGAATGAGCAGATAAGGGCCCTTCAGTATGACTCAAATCTCAAGGGTTCAATTCTTATCCAACAACCATGACAGTCACGTCTCTGAGGTTAGAAGCTACCCTCGTATTGAACACTGTAACATGCGCTCAGCATTTAGTTCTCAGAAACCAGCTAACACATCACGGTCACCTGTGTTAGTCAGCTGTTACCCTCATCCACCCATGTCCAGGTTAACCATGTGTAAAAGGTGATTCTGAGAAATGAGGCACGCCTAGTTTTCCTGGTATTTATGAGCCTGAGGAAGGCCTTCCAATGTCTCCTAACCTAGTGACGGATTTGTGCAGAAAACTTCGAGGTACGCCACAGTTCATTGCCTCCTGTGCCCCCTCCCCCCCAAACTGCTCCGTGTAGGTCTGGACTCTGGAAAGGAGAGCCTGCCAGAGAGGCTCCACTGGAAGCCGAGGCTCATTTCAGATCTACACTATCAGACAAATCTTGCAAGCGGTGTGACCTACAAACAAGAGGAATGCCCTATCAGGCCATCTCTAAGAACAGCGAGGGAAATACCTCCTACCACATGCACCTCTGACCTAACTCTGCTCGTGGTTTCCACTCGCAGCCGGAGGGCAGCAGCCACCTAAGCTGTGTGTGCACCCATTCACAAGCGAGGTTCTTGAACATCTGTTGTGTGCACAAGCTTGTGACACCAACCTGACAGCTCCACCTTCAACTCGGACACTCCAGCTGCGCTGTAAGCTCGCCTTGGTCTCCGGGGGTGTCTCTGAACTGTTGTGGGTTTGAACTCAAGAAGAACAAAAGCAGGGGTCTTTTGCAGCTACCCTGTGTTTGGGGATCTCAGCCTCCTAAAAGGGGCAGCTTCAGCAACAAGCTTCCTGTCCGGAGAGAGCAGGCAGAGCGAGCCTTCGATGCCGTCCCCGGGACAGCGGGCCGGGCACTGGGTGGAGGCGTGGGAGGCCTCCTGCACACGTGCTCTCCAAAACTTGCCTCTGGGCTTGAGTTTGAACCTGACTCAGTGTCAGTGCCCATGATAACAAAGACGACCAATTAAGAAGTTTGCAACTTACCATCAGGGCCGAACAAAAGCAATGCAGTGGAGTATTACGATGCTAAATAACAGGTCTCCCGATCAGGAAGACTGGACTTGAACCCTTCTCTGCTAGTTATAAATTGTGTGCGTTTGGTCAGGTTAACCCTCTAACTCTAGTTTCCACATCTGCAAAATGAAGCTAAAAATTGTCCTCAGGGTTATTGCAAGAATGAAATGAGATTCAACATTTCCATTTTCTAAGCTGTAACTGCTGATCACAGAAAAGTTACTGATTCTGTAAATCCTGTATCTGCCTGCCTTGCTTAATTCCAGATGTTTTTTTCTATACTGAGATGTTTCCATCATCTTTTACCTTTTTTTTTTTTTTTTAAATATATCTTTATTGATTTCAGAGAGAGGAAAGGAGAGGGAGAGAGAGAGAGAAACATCAATGATGAGAGAGTCATCGATCGAGCCCGCAACCTGGGCATGTGCCCTGACCGGGAATCGAACCCCGGTCGCCTGGATCCTAGGTCGACGCTCAACCGCTGAGCCACGCCCGGCCGGGCATCTTTTACCTTTAATTTGTTTTATTAATGTATGAATGAAACAGCTTTTCCAATATAAACCATCTTTGCATGCCTGGGATATACTCTACTGGTCTTTTGTTAAATTTGCTTTTACAAATATTTGATGTGATTTGTTAATATTTTACTTAGGAACTTTGCATCCAGATTCATAAGTGAGTTTGGTTTCTGTTTCTCTATCTGAGCTATCCTCACCCAGTTTCTTGGGTAGGACCATGCTAGTCTTGTAGACTGAGCTAGGCAGCTTTCCATATTTTTCTATACTTTGGAGCAATATCTATAACGGGAGTTGTGTTTCTTAACCACCTAAGTTTGGTCCCCTTTTAAAGGGTAGACCTCTGACTACATTTTCAATTTTCCAATGATTACTGTAAAAACTCACAGGTTTTGAGTAATTAACAAGTTCATATGACTCTCTAACAGGGCAGTAAGCTGAGATAAGACCTTGATGAGAAAGAACAGGAGGGTGAGAAAAGAAAGGAAAGGGAGGTGGAAGTGAAGGGAGATGGAAGCAAGAGTTGAGGGTTCTAAGATGAAAAGGTGGGCACTGCCAACCTTAAAAACACAAAACAGAGCTCCAAACAGCCTGACCAGACCCACCCATCCCTTTCCTGAAGGGTTTTTGGGTCTGGGCTGGGTGCTTTGTGGGATGTGGGTTCACAGAAGGTAACATGGACAGAGCAAGGCCCGGTGGCTTCTGTGAGAAGGGGTATTCTAGATGGGTGGACAACCCAGACCAAGGCCCAGCAGAAGAGAAAAAGAGACTCAATTTATCAGTGAACATCTGGTAAACTTATTTAAAAACTACAAGCTTCCAATGCCTGGACTCTACAGACATAAGTTGTACTTACTCTGAGAATTCAGGTATCTCCTATAATGCTCCAGAATTTAACAAATGAGAGGAAAACCACAGAGCTTCACAAGTTGATAGACTTCTCTTCTGAATAACTGACTTTAATGTCATAATATCTT